AGCTTCACCTTCAATTGGCTAAGCTTTCTTTTATCTTTCTCATACTTGTACTTTATGATGTTTTGCATTAATAAACTTGTGAGTTTGATTGTTAAATCATTCATGAGTAGCTAAACTCCTTCATCTAGGGAGTAGATGAAACTTATGGCTAAATAATACTAATTGAATGTGATTTACACTTGTTATATCTTGTATTAACTTGTCTACTTGTGTAGCTGTTATACTTGTTATTGATTGATCACCAATAGCATGTTTATAGTGTTATTATTCAATGAGAATTGGTAATAACAATTGAAACACATGAGTAGAGCTTGAGTTGTATGTTCATGAAAATAGAGATACACTTAGGTGGATTATTGAGCATTTCATGAAATAAAACGGAGTAGTAGTAGTATTTCACCATGAAAATAGGGAAATCTATATTGCTCTAGGCCATTTCATCATGAAAATGAGACTTGGTAATCTTGGAAATAAATCTCTGGTTAAGCAAGAATAATAGCAAGAAGTAAATCCATTCATTTGTGTAGTTTATGCCATAAGTGGAATCTACATCCCTAGAATCTTCCTTAAGTGAAATTTCTCTATTTGCATTCAGCATTTGTTAAACTAGATTTGTATATCAGATTTGTAGATTACAGCATTAGACTTTCTCTGCTCAAATTAATTGTAAGTCTAAATAATAGAGAGAACAAGGGCTTAGTAATTGTTTAAATTGCTCCTCGTGGGATCGACCTGATACACATTTTGTACTACAATTGCGACCTGTATACTTGCAGTCCAACGGGTGTAAAATCGGAATTAAACTTGCATTGATACAAAAATCCCGTCAATAAACTACCAATGAGAAGTACAGATAGAAATTGTTGATGTTGAAGGCTTCATTGCCTGTAGCTACTTGTTTCTTTCCGTGTCCTGCTGTCAAGAAAACTTGGCTCATCTTCCTAGCTATGTTCAGTATCCTATCAGATTAGTGAATGACTAATGACAAATGTTTCCAGAAAGATGTTGGATTACTGCAAATTATGGCGCCTGGAACTGCATATCTTCTTAATTGTATTGTTTGCAGTGCTGGTCTTTGTGATTGTCATAGCTGATAGTCTTGCCTGTGATCTTTTGTTCAATTCGGTTGCCTGTGAAACTAAAGGCAATCTTTGAGGGTTGCAAATACTGGAAGCCAAGCAAAGAGTAGATGGTGCAAACAATGGAAGTTCAATGCCCCCCTTCAATCTTACTTGGCTCAAGAACAAGTTGCCGGATCTTGACATGTTGAAGGCGAGGAGAATTATGCAGAAGTTTGATGAAAGAGTTAGAGAAGTCCTATATGATGATCACCAGCAATGTCAGGTTCAGTTCTTCATGATTTGGATATTCCCTGCATCATTATTTGGTAGGAGGGAGTTTTCTGCATTAGAGAGTATCTTCAAAACACATCCAAAAGCTTGCTTGATCATCTTATCAGAAACTCTGGATTTGATCCAAGGGTTTATGCTCTTAAAGCCTTTGATGGATCGTGGCTATAGAGTTGCTCCTGTGACACCTGACCTGTTGTATCTATTCAACAACACATCTGCATAAGCCTGGTTCAATGATATTCTGAGCGGAAACAGGAATCCTGGTGAAGTTCCATTGGCCCAAAAATCTATCTAATTTGATCAGGCTAGTAGTCCTCTACAAGTATGGAGGTGTTTATCTGGATACAGATTTTATAGTTTTGAGAGATTTTTCAAGGTTAAGGAATGTAATTGGAGCTCAAACCGCGGATTTGAATGGAAACTGGACAAGACTTAACAATGCATTGCTGGTTTTTGACAAGAATCATCCACTTCTGTACGAGTTCATGGAGACATTTGATGGAAACAGATGGGGACAAAATGGACCATACCTGGTTTCCAGAGTGGTGGAGAGGCTGGCAACCAATATGATGCTGCATAAGTACAACTTTACTGTCTTGCCTCCTATGGCCTTCTACCCGGTGGCTGGAATCGGATAGATGGGCTATTCATGCGAACAAGTAATCCGAAATGGACAAAGGCCAAGCTCCGCCAGATTACTGGTGGTGACACTTATGGGATTCACCTGTGGAATAGGCAAAGTAGCAGAACTAAAATTGAAGAGGGAAGTATTGTAGCCACATTGATCGCTGATCATTGCATCATATGCCAGAAAGTCTCTAGCTCTTGAAGAAATCTTATCTTCAGCTTAATTGAAATGAAGGCAGTTCAGCCAGGTAGATATTGCACAATGTGAATTTGTTGACAAGGTAAATAGGCAGTTGGCCACAGCGTTACTAAATTCAAGCTTTACTTTCCCAGTACTTTCTATACAAGGAATATAATTGTTAAGTGTATATACCTGGATTGGAAAAAGTGTTTCATCGAGTCTTTGAGTAGTTTAATCAATGAAGAATAAAAAGGTAAAAAAATTTTGTTATCAAAACTTTCTACCGCAGATAATGACTCTCAATCTTCTCAACCTCAGCCTGAATTTCCAACCTGCAAATATCCATACCTCGAGTCTAGGTAATCTCCTAAATGACCTTTTTCTTGTCAGCCTCCTTTTGCCAGTTTTTGGCAGCTCATTTTTTTATCATGGGGTTCCTTTTCGTGTAAATTTCTTCCGAAGCTAACCAACCCTGACCATCACTTTGGCAATGAATCATAGCCGATGTAGCCTCCTTTATTGACATCCAGGGATCATCATGACTTCCACCATCTGCATCGCTACCCCACAAGAGAATAGGCCTAATGATGGGGGAGCCACTGTAATCCGTCAAATATGTTTTCAAGCTCGTATGCTCCATGTCAATCAATCTCCTAAGCGATGTGCTTCCTTCCTTCATCAAGTCTAACAAACTACTGCTCTTCCGCGGAGAGGAAAACGAAGAGCAAGAAGCCCCTGTTGAGGAAAATGACGATGAAGAAGATGAGGAATAGTAGAGGGATTTTTGGTACTTTATAATCTGCCTAATGTTTTGTTTTTGAGCTTCTGTATCAATAACACAAGGGGGCTCCTCGTCTTCCTCTTTAGTAATCTCAGATGCCATCAATTCAGTCTAAATTATTCTAGCATATAGAAACATATAAATCTATGAAAAGACGAGTGTGGTGATGGTAATACTGCATATATAATAAGATAGGACAAGCTTAGGCATGAACTCAGACCAGATGATGCAAAATCCCACATAAAAATCTACACAATGCCGGCTACAAGTAAATATGTACAGACAGTAGCAAAAAACAAACAAGAATTTTAAGAGTTAAATCTAGGCTGCCTAACCAGCATATATATATTGTCATCATCGCTTTTTTATTTATATTTTACTCTATTCTAATTTATCTAGGGAAGGTTCAACTAGATTTACAAAAGATCAATGGGAATTGAATGATCAGCAGATCAGACGGATGAACTGAATCATCAACAGATCAGACGGATGAACTACGTATTCCTATGAATTTTTTAAAAAAATTACGTATCATGATAATTGATGAAAGATAAGAATTAAAATCTTTACCTCTTATCCTACCAGCAAGCCACCAGCCCAAAGGCTGGTGGTCCCTAACCAGTATTTGGTAACATAAGTCTTCACTAACTTTGATAAGCACGAGGATGGTCTACATTGGCTCAGTCAAGCTCTTGACTAGAAAAAAATGGAGTACTTTCTTAACAATGGATAGGGAACCAGACATTCCATCCACTATGCTTTAATCATATGTCCCAAGAAGTCATAATTCATTTGTCATATCTTTACTAATAAGCAAAGGAATGAACAGTTACATTATTATATGCGTAATCAGTCGACTCTTTCATTCTGTCCTCATTCTGATGCCGTTCCCTAGTGTTCAGAACAGAGAAGTACAAAGAGTATCGAGTGTTCATATGTTTGTTCCATTTTCTTTAGCAGTTTGTCTTAAAGTACCCGTACTCTGATTCAATTTTTTTGGTGCCATAAAGCGCTAGGACTGAAATGGAAGAGTTGAAGAAGGCCACAGTACATAACTGAGTTTCTTTTCATCCACATTCCATAATGAAGAGTTGAAGACGTATATCAGCGGTAACCAAATCCAAACCAACAAAATACATGGTCTCCCAATTCGATCAACTGTTCTTTATTACTACATGACCCTTCTAAGGTTTCCATATATCGATGTAACCTCCCTAAAGTTTGTATATGAAGCGAAAAATCGATAGAAAACACCAATGGTTATGACAGTTGAGTTGACCAATTTTCAAAAATTGCTTGTGATGAAATCATATATTCACTTGATCCTCTATAGTTTATATGAAAATTCACTTAATCCTCTATAGTAAACTATATGAAAATTCACTTTACCCACTGTGTTTTTTTTTATTTATTTAGCCACATAATCTCCTTCCGCATGCTTTTGGGTAAGGTGCTCGAGCCTTTGTTCTAAGCAATATTTAAGTAAGGGTAATATTAATATTTTAACTAATTACGTTACAAAATCTATTTTCTGTCAAGTTATAACTTACATAAAACTGTAGGGTCATGATATAAATATTTTGAAACATTAGGGAGTTATGTATAATTACCCCATTGCAAACAAATTGTGCAGATTCCCAAACAGCATGCAATACAAAATGTACAAATCAGCAGGAGGGGGAATTAATGCAGTCACGCTTTCTAAATTTTCCTCTTCTCTCTAATTTCTCCACTCCTTTCAAACAAAACAACACCTTCCTCCATGGGAGGGGGGAGGCTATTTGGTCTCCTTCCATCCACGCAATGATTTTTTTTCGTAGGTAATAAAATCTCTTCCAAAATTTCAAATGAGAGAATTGTTCACTCCTAGAATTTTCTATTGAGAGAATTCTTGTCTTCTAGAATTTTTTTTATGAGAGTTTATTCTCTCCTAAGATTCCTTGTGAGAGTTTTTATTAGTTATATGTTTTTCTTTCTCAAATCTCAATTTCTTTTCAATTTTTTTTTCAAACGTAAAACGGTATATTAAATTGCACCATAACAACTTTTGCAAGTTTGCTTACAAAACTGGAGCAACTGCTCCTAAATCTTCCCTAGCTAATCTAATTAACCAGAGAGGGAAGGAAACCTTCCAGTAGACATCCTCTACTAAGTTCAAGGCAAACCTTGCCAAACTATGACTGGCCACATTTCCTTCTCGTCTAATGAAGGAAAAGCTGCAATTTCTGAAGTTGTTTTTTAACAGCTTTATGTCTTCAACTAGCGTTCCAATCTTTGCATCCCTTATGTCTTCATCTAGGATCTTGCTTACTACTATCTTGCAATTAGATTGTACTTCAATATTCACCCATCCTTCCTGCAATGCCACCGTTAAAGCTTTCCTAATGGCACAAGCTTCTTCCACAACAGGATCACTACATCTTTTTTCAATACCAGCCCAAGCTCCAACAATATCACCATCTCCCCTCCTAGCTATGAAACCCCAGCTAGCTTTCCTATGCTTTATATCAGTTGCTGCATCCGTATTGAGCATTACAACTCCTCCTATTGGCGGTGTCCATCTGTCTTGACTTTGTGGACCTGTTTCTTGTTCAGCCCCTCTTATTTTCTGATTGGCCAACTCATACTCTTGCCACTCTTGCACCGCTTGGTTAATTATCATCCTAGGACATTTTTTCTCTCTATTAAATTGAACTTTATTTCTTGCCTTCCATACCTGCCACAGAATATTTACTGTCAACACTATATGCTCTCTTCTATCCTTTCTCTGCTGAGCATCCATTAGGCTGTTCCACCATAACCAGAAATTGGGCCTAAAATGTTCCATTCCATCCCATCTCACAGGTGCATCCTTCCATATCATTGTTGCCTGCTGACAGAAAAATAACATATGCTCTAGTGTTTCAGTTCCCTCTCCATAACATAAGCACTTGTCCTCCCCTTTCCCAGTTCTACTCTTTATTACTTCATTCACTGGCAAGATCCTGTGCAGACATTTCCATATAAAATGTTTCAGCTTATGCTTCATGTTTAGGTTCCGAATGAACTTCCAAACCTTTGTATTTCGCTCATTTCTGCTATCACCCTCCACCTGCATTCTGATCATTTCATACCTACTACTCCTTTGTTTGTGCAACTCCTTTGCCAAAACATATCCTGTCTTAATAGTATACTTCCCAGATCCTTGCTATTGCAGATACTAATAGGGATTTTTTTATATTCGTGCAGTCTTCCTCATTAAAAATGGACCTCATGAGCTCCATTCTCCATTCCCCATTCTGAATAAGCTCATTTGCTTTTCGTATAGAGCAACCAGGAGGCTTTACTGTAGTAACCACCCCTTTTCCTCTATCAGGTAGCCACCTATCTGCCCATACATCAATTGTACACCCATCTCCCACTCTTTTTTTTGCTTCCCTTTCCAGCAACTCACATGCACTGAGCACACTCTTCCACATCCAAGAGTCACTCTCATGAATTTTCATCTTCCAGATTGACTCCCCCTTAAAATACCTTCCCTTCAGTATCCTACTCATCATCAGATTTGGCCTAGTTAAAATCCTCCATAATTGTCTTGCCAGCATTGCAGTATTGAATTCCATTAGATCTCTAAAACCCAATCCTCCATTTCCTTTAACATCTGTGAGTCTCTCCGATCCTAACCAGTGAATCTGCCTATCTTTGTCATTTCCACCCCACCAGAACTTTGCCATCTCTTTACATATATCAACACAGACTCCTTTTGACAGTCTAATACATCCCTTTGCATATGTAGGCATTGCTAGTATGACAGATTTCAGCATTACTTCCTTACCAGCTTGACTCAACAGTTTTTCCTTCCACCCCTTCAACCTATGCACCACTCTCTCCTTTATATAGCTGAACACCTGTTTTTTTGTCCTTCCTATTACCACCGGTAGGCCCAAATACCTACTCTGTTGTATTTGCTTCATGCCTTCTAGCACCTCTATCACCTCTTCCTTTTTATCCTTTTGCATATTTTTTTCAAAAAGCACAGATGATTTATCAGCATTGATCATTTGACCAGATGCATTTTCATATATTTTTAAAATCTGCATTACCTGTTGTGCCTCCTCCTTTGTTGCCCTGTAGAAAATAAGAGTGTCATCTGCGAAAAACAGATGAGAAATTGCAGGGCACTCCTTTGCTATTCGCAGTCCAAATAGTTTTTGACATTGCACTGCATGTTGCAACAAACTAGATAGACCTTCAGTAATCATCACAAACAAGTAGGGTGACAATGGATCTCCTTGTCTAAGTCACCTTTGAGGTCTAACATAACCCTTTCTCTCTCCATTAATATTAAAAGAATAGCTAACAGATGATACACATTTCATCACCCACTAGATCCACATCGGATAGAATCCCATTTTCTGCATAATTTTTGCCAAAAAGACCCAATCGACTCTATCATATGCTTTGGACATGTCTAGCTTAAGAGCCATGTGCATTACTTTTCCAGCTCTTTTGGTACTTAGATAATGAAAAAACTCATGAGCAATTACCACATTGTCCATAATGTGAGGACTCGTAAAATTCTTCTTATTTTCTTAAAATTTCCTTTTATTTTGAATAAATTACTTTATAATAGCTTTACTACTCATTTACCTTCTTCATAGTTGCAATAAATCATAGAATTAAGAGTTTCCCTTTACTTTCATCGTTAGGATAAATTAGGGTTTTCGTGTATTTTGGTAGTGTAATTAATTGGTGAGGTGTGGGTACTAAATTTGGTAGTTAAGAGTGAGTTTTAGATAAGAGAAAGTGTGTGATTAGAAGTACTATTAACAAGTTAGTGAATCATAGGTTAAAACCCTAGTACACGCGAGTTACGAAAAATAAGCTTGGTGCACCGTTTGCTACCGATTGAGTGCACCACTTGAACACCATTTTATTACCTTAATCTCCATGTGATTAATTGAGAAAAATCAGCCCCAAAATATCCTCAAGCCAACCAAAATTTTGGACCAAGAAAAAGAGAGAAAAGAAAAAAAAATTGACCACAAATCAAAGTGTGACACTTGTTGACTTTAACCAAGCAAATTTCCTATCTTCTTATCTTTCTTCTTGGCTCATTTTTCTTCATTTCTTGCTAGTCTTGGCCGAGAGTGATAGGAGAGAAAAACAAGTGAGGAAAGCTAGCAACTTCAACCTTGAATTCATCTTGTTTGAGTGAAATCTCAAAATCTAAACCGATTAAACTTACCTTGTGGTGTTTTGCAAGCTTTGTGTGGTAAAAGTTTTGGAAGAAAGAGGTTTGGTTTTCACTTACAAGCAGCTCTTGTAAGGTATAATGGTTTCCTTTCCTTTTCTTGTGCTTAATCTTGTTAAAATTGGGAGATAAACTTGTGTTCTTGATTTCCTATGGTTAATTATTTAGTTTTGAATGATATTGTGGAATGTTAAGCTAGGGTTTGAAAATTTCAGTTGTGATTATTGTTGTTTAGCTAGTACATGATGATGATGAGCTTGGATAGGGGCTTGGGGTAGTGATTCAAGGCATGAATGTTAATTTTAAGCATTAAAACATCAAATGCCAGCAAGTGTAGTGGAATCTGTCCTGTTTCTGCACTGCATATTCGTCCATGATAAAGGCCGAATAAGGTCTTACTCAAAACATGAAAGTTGTATGAAATGGAGTTAAATATCTACCTGAAAATTTTCAGCTCAATCGGATCACTGTATCTTGTGAAATGACTAAATTACCGCTGACTGCCAAAAGCCCTATTTCACAGGAAGCTTTCTGTTTTCTTTGAGATTTCACATTTTGACCTTGAAAATGCACGAACTGGGTGTCGATGTCTTCATAGAAAATGTAGGCCTCTGTCTTAGCTTCGAAACACCATAAAATTTACCCCAATATGATAAGCGTAGCTTCAATTGTCACCAAAACTCCGGAAGATGTCAAACCTATTATTTAGCTATTTGTCTTTAAAACTAGTTTCCAGCTTTGGTCTTGGTGGTTTCATTGGTAGAATTGACTTGTAATTGGATGATATTAAGCCTAGTTGAAGAGCTATTGTGTTAAGATTGCTTATGTGTGAATTTGGGTTGAGTTGAGGAAAGAAATGAAGCCCTAAGTGGCTGGAAAATAGTTAAATACAAAGGGCATGCTACCCAAATTTCTATTACTTGCTCTTATGAATATTAGTAAGATGTAAGGTTTGATTTTAGGGTTAGTTGGATCTTAAATTACACATGTATCCTTAAATGCACTTTAATAGTAGTATATGAGTTGTTTTTGACCAAGATTTGGTATCAACTAAGATGAAAAGTGTTAGTTTTATCTCGAAAACTTTGAATTACATTTGCTCACTTCAATTTGGGATTGGTTATTCTTAGGGCTTGTCGGTGATCAAGGGCATAATCCAGAAGGAAACTTTTGACATTATTTTGGCTTAGATAGGTGAGTGTTCCTTGTGTGTTTGTACAATAAGTGACTATGTGCCTATTTGTGAATATTTGATTGAATGTTAAATGCTTTCTAAGGATTGCTAAATGGATTTTGGATGGGCGAGTGTATACTTTATCGCACTCAACCCAAGCCAAAGTGAATTTTCAATGATTGAATGCTACTTGTGCATGAATGCAAGTCTTTTGGCTGAATTGAGCCCTTGCCCTTCATTACCAGTCGACTCAAGCCAGAAACGGACTCGGTCGGGTGGCTGGTGACCCTGGGACAGTGTTTTGGTATACTCGAGTATGACCATGAAAGTTGGTGGAGAACTAGCCAATTCATTGGCTAGTGGCGGGAAATGAAATCAATGAATAAATGTCAATAAACTGGAGGAATTTTCACTTGCAAATGTTTTCTAATGTCAAAGGAATAAGGAAAATGATGGGCGAATGAATGAATGAATGACTTGAATGAATGGTTCTAAGTGAGCACGCATCCTTCCAATAATTGAGTGTTTATTTCTTGAATGACTGGATATTACTGTGCAAAATATGCAAGTTGTTAAATGTAACGTTTCCCTAATTTCTATACCTAATTACTTGTTTGGGAACCTCACCGGGCTTTTAACTCATTCCACGCCATTTGTTTTTCTTACAGGGGGTATGAGCGAGGTGTGAGACTGGTACAGGTTAGCATAGTCTAGTTTTTTTGAAATTTTGCGATTGTATTCGCACTAGTTGCTCAATTCGGGTTGAATGTATTGAGAACTTAAATCTTTTGATATATTTGGGATTGTATGGATGTTTGATATAGAAATGAATATATCTGTATGTTCCAAACTTGGGAACTGTTATTTCCTTTATTCTTGAGGTTGCACCCTATTTTCTTGATGTGAGTGAGTGAGTTCTGGTGAGAACTAGGCAGGCGGTCCACCGAACCCTTGGGTTATGCCCTAGGGAGAGGTGGGGTCGTCACACAGAATCTGTCCACCAGGTATAAACACAGATTGGTTAAGACTGATACGGTGTTTTAGTAAAGGCTTAACTCTATTGACAAAAGCTTTTTCCATGATTCTATACACAACATTACATAGACTTATAGGCCTAAATTGGGACACCATCACAGGAAATTCAGTTTTTGGAATTAAAGTAATGATGGTTTCATTGATAGACTGCAAAAGGTGGCTAGAATGGAAAAGCTAGAAATTGCAGTAGTTAGATCATCTTTTTATGATGTTCTAAAATCTTTGAAAAAACACTGGTGTCATACCATCTGGCCATGGTGCCTTGTTTGGATGCAATGAGAACACTGCCTTCCTGACCTCCCATTCTGTAATAGGTCTTGTTAACCTCATGTTCATCTGAGTGGTAATTGTTTGAGGAATTCCTTCAAGGATTACATCAACTTGGCTCAACTGTGAGGCTTTAAACAGGTTGTCAAAGTAGTTTGTTACTTCCTTCTCCACCTCAAATTCAGTATTACACTAATATCCATTTTGCATCTGAAGTGTCGATATTTTATTTCTCCTTCGTCTGGCCTCAACTAGGGCTGTAATCGAGTCGAGTTGAGCTCGAGTATCACCATACTCGAGCTCGACTCGACATACAAAAAAGGTGAGCTCGAGCTCGAGCGAGTAGTATTATTGGAGCTTGAGCTTGAAGCATGCTTGCAGTACTCTCGAGCTCGAGTTATTAGATTTCATTTTCTTGATAATTTTTGAGTGAAAAGACATTATTGCCCTTTTAAAATTTTTATACGACTTGAAACATTTCGTAAATTCAACAATTCTTTTAGGTATAAGGGTGATTTTACAATAATAATATATTAAATAATTAAAATTAAAAGGCTCGATAAGGCTCGACGAGCCTTTGAGCATTGCTTCTGGATGCTCGAACTCGACTCGTTTAGCTTATCGAGCCGCTCGAACTCGACTCAAACTCGGTCAACCCGAGTTCGAGTCAAGTTTTTGACCGAACTGCTCGCGAGTAGATTATATCCCTAGCCTCAACCACAGCATGAAAATAACTTGTACTCTTGTCTCCCTCCTGAAGCCACTTTACTCTAGCTTTTTGTCCCCAGAAGACTTCCTCTTTTCTATAGGCATCAGCAAGCTTTTTTAGCAGATAATTGGTTTCCTCTTTTGCATTAGGCCCCCTTGCATGCCTGCTATCTGTGATTTTCTGCTTTAGTACCTCAATGTCCTTCTTGGCATTACCCTTTAACTTTTTGTTCCATCTCATGAGCTCAAATCTACAATCTTTGATTTTATTCTGAAGTCTGAAAAATCTGGAACCCTCCTGCCTGTTTCCCCATGCTTTTGCAACTACCTCTCCTACTTCTTGATATTCAAGTCATTTCCTATCAAAATAGAATCTCCTTTTCCAATTTCTTTTTATTGGTTCAGTTTCCACCGACATCATACATTGATCCGATGCTTCAACATGAATGTGAGTGCACTTTGCTCTTGCATGGGTCTCCTTCCACTCACTATCCATCAGAACTCTATCCAGTCTTTCCTTTACCTCTCATGTGTTATCCCATTTATTACTCCAAATCCAAGGCTTCCCCTCAAACCCCACTCAATTTCTTCAATTCGGATTTGAAAATTCTAAATTTATTTTGTCAGATATCAACTTGATATATGGATTTGAAAGTAGTTAAATAATAGATTTGGTGAGAGAAGACATGTATATATCATATATGTTTGTTAGACTCAGAAAGATTGATAGTATCATATAGTAGGTTGGATATTTACTATGTAATATTCGTAATTTGTTCAACTCTGCTATGTTTGTAGATCTTTCAAATCTAATATTTCTATGATATATTTGATGATGTATTTTCTGCTATTACATTATTGCAGAGCTTGTGAATGAAACGTTAATTTCTATGAGAAAAAAAGGATGAACTTCTTTCTTATATTCACTATGAACTTCTTTGACCAAAGTCGTTATTGTAGTCTTAATTTGACTATTCGATGGACAAACTCGCGCGAAATATGTCGAAGTTTTAGATACCTACGAAGCTTGTTGTCCTTTTCTTTTCCGCTGTGGGTCACAAGTAACATGGACCTAACAACAAAAGTATACGAGCCAAACAATAGAAACAAAAACTTTTAAGTACGAATAAACAAAGTATAAGTGGACTATCCCTTGGATTACACAATAATTGATTAGAGAAACTTGTATTGTTTTTGGTAAAAAATTAGAGAAACTTGTAGGCAGAGACGGATTTAGAGTAAACTACACTATGTGTAAACTAACAATTTTGCCTCCACTAATCCTGCCAAAATCTTTAGTTTATATGTATAAATTAAAACGGTTGGCTCAACATTAATAAAATATTGCTTACTTGCCCTAACTGCTTGAATCGAATCAAAATCTTTAATTTATATGTGTAAATTAATAACTATGCGCCCACATTTAGTGAATATTGGCCATCAATCTTCAACAAAATATTTATGTGATATTCTAAGTCAACAATTTATAAATAAATAAATAACTGCACATTTCACCTCTTACACTTAATTAAAACCACAAACAAAGACTAAATTTTACTTTTACTCATTTTCGACTTCATTCTCAATACACTTTAAAAACACAAATACATTTGTAAAATTTTGTCAAATTTTTAACTGTGATTGAAACTCAAAAAAATTGCTTTTTCTTCATTTCACTTTTGCAAAAAAAAAAAAAAAAAAAAGAAGAAAGAAATCTACATAGTGATTGTCTACATAATTGTTCAAGTATATTGTTTAAATTATGTGGTAAACATATATACCTCAATACTTGCACGGTTACATTTACACATTACATTCGCCCTCACTGAATTGCATTTTTGGCTCCGCGACTATTAGTATGTTTTCGAAGCTCTTTTGTTATCTTGAACTTATTATACTATACTTAGATAGTAAACAATATCTTCTCTCTAGAAAAAACTCTCTTCCTTCTCTCTTATTATTTTCTCTAATTTCTCAACTATTTCATGGCTGCCCTTCAGCCGTCGGCTGAGGGGCAAGGATTATCACCTACAAAAAAAAAAATCTTTTTCTCAACTTTTTTCTCAGCCGGCTACATCGCCTATCCACATTCAGCAGGCTTCTGTCTACAAGGGAGAAGCTGCGGTAGTTTTTTCTAAAGCAGATGCAGACAAACTTGCAGCGCCGTTTCAATGGGCTTTGGTGGGAAAATTTTCTCATGGCCGACCGTCTTTGGAAGACATTCGAAAGTTTTTTGCTTCTTTAAACCTGAAGGATCATGTTTCTATTGGATTGATGGACTATAGGCATGTTCTCATTAAGTGCATGGCTGAAGCTGACTTCAACAGAATTTGGATGAGAGGGATTTGGCAGCTGGGTAAATATCCGATGCGTGTGTTTAGATGGACAAGGGAGTTTCATGTGCTTAGGGAATCATCTCTGGCTCCGGTTTGGGTAGTTCTTCCAGCTCTGCCCATTCATTATTTCGACAAACATTCATTATTCTCCATACTTTCTCCAGTAGGAAGACCACTGTTTCTAGATTCGGCAACGGCAGCTGGGACTCGACCAAGTTTGGCCAGGGTATGTGTGGAGCTCGATGTAGCGAAATCTTTTACACAAAGAGTTTGGGTGGCTGTTGAAGGGGAGTCTGGATTTTGGCAAAGGATTGTGCCAGAGAATATGCCATTGTATTGTTCAACTTGTTCACGTTTGGGTCATTCCCAAGAGCAATGCAAGAAGAACGTAACTGAGGTTGGGTCTCGGTATCTATATAAGCATAACACAAAGCTGCAGACGGATCTATCGTTAGAAGTTAATAATGTTCAAGTGTCTAATTTAGACCTCGTGAAAAACCCAGATGCTAACTTGGAAAAAACAACAGATGCCGTGACTGATTCCGACGAAGTGCAGCATACTGAGATGGGCAATTATGCGGAAAAACTAAAAGGTGCAGTGGTGGAGGAAGTTTGTACTGCCACAAAGGTTCAAGAAGTTAATAAGCCTGATGATCACCTAATTCAGCTTGGAGTAACTAAGTTGCTGTCCTCTGCTGGATTTGAACAACCACAAAATGATCTTGCAATGGAGCTGACAGTTCGTGAGAAACGAAGGGAAATGGAAAACCAGCTGGAGAAGGTCCACGGGAATGAATACCAAGGGACCCGTTTTGAAACTAATATAAATCCCACAGACAAACTTCAGAGTAAGGCCGACAAAAATACTCTTCATCATCTAAATACTGATCACCAAGTGGTGATAGTTGCTGCATCCAAGCCGACAACATATGATGTGCAAGGGAATTTGAATACGGCTCATATGAGAGAGCAAGCACTTGTTGGGGAACAATTGTTAATGCAAAAGCATTCAGAACAGACCCATGGAAATGATGAAGGGACCCAAGCTACATCGTCTGAAGCATCAAAAGAGAAACTTCAGTCCATGGCCGACAATAACTCTTTGGAGCATCTCTATGTTGAGTTGCGAGGAGTGGAGAATTTCGGTCCTACAGAGCATGGGATAGTGGAGGTTAATTCACCAACTGTTGCAGGAAATTTGTCTCCCAGACCGGGTGTCCCACAAGAAAATTTGACTGAATCATCTGGTCCTTCTTCAAGTCTTGATCAATCAGGGGGGGCTGACCGTAATCCCAAACAAAAAAGGACAAAAGGTTTGAGGGCTAATCTGCAAACCGACAGAATTTTGCGCTCACGGTCAGAGACATCATCCAAAAACTCATTCCAGGTTCTTTCTCATGATTAATGGCATTTTTTGGAATATTAGAGGAGTAGCTAAAGCACCTAATCTACGAAGATTAATCAATTTAGTACGGACACATCATCTCCAATTTGTTGTGATTTGTGAGCCAAAGTTAGACGTATCTAAAATACAAACCATTCGTCTACGTCTATTATTTGATTACGTGCTTGTTAATTGTTCAAGTGATATTTGGGTGTTCTACAATAATCCTTTTCTTTGCTCGATTGTTGGTAATTCGGATCAGCATATTTCTCTACATGTACAAAGTCCCCTAATTCCTTCTCCAATAATTTTGTCCTTTGTTCATGCAATATGCTCAGTTGACGAGCGGCGTGAGTTATGGTCCTCATTGTTAGCTGATAAGCCTAGTTTTCTTCCTTGGTGTATTGGGGGTGATTTTAATGTTATTGTAGCACCTCATGAAAAAAGGGGAGGTCGTCCATTTGCTATAACAGAAGGAGTGGAATTTCTGTCTTTCATGGAGGAGGCTGGAGTATTCGATGTAGGCTTCTCAGGACCCAATTTTACATGGTCAAACAATCGACGAAGTAGAGCTCGGATTTCAAAGAGGTTAGACAGGTTCTTAGTCAACGGGGCATGTCTGGATCTTTCTCATAACATTTCTGTCATTCACTTGGCTAGACATCCATCTGACCATTCACCGTTAAAGCTCTCATTTGTTGCTCAATCAGATACTAAGCCGCGTCCATTTCGATTTTTGAATGTGTGGACAACTAAACCACAACTCTTGGAGGTAATACGCCAAGCTTGGACTCAAGATGTCAATGGATCTCCGATGCGTGCTCTATGTTCTAAATTATTGGCAACAAGAAAAGCTATTCAGACATGGAACAAAGAACACTTTGGAAACGTGATCGATAATGTGCGATCTGCAGAAATGGCGGTGCAACGGGCAGAAGAAGTGGTAGATCAAGATGATTCGGAGGAGTGCCAGATCGAACTCAAAAAGGCTCACGCGGAGCTGAGATATGCATTATCAATTGAAGAACAATTTTGGAGGCAAAAGGCTAGGGTAAAATGGCTTCGACAGGGAGATACTAATTCAAAGTATTTTCATGCGATAGTAAGACAGAGACGGGCTCAAGCTATGATTCATCGTATCAAAAAAGCCAATGGTGTTTGGGTGGACAATGAAGCTGATATAGCAAGTGAAGCAACCACCTATTTCTCTGAACTTTTCTCGGATTCTTTGGGATCATCTGCAGATATGCTACATCTCATTCCACCTATGATTTCGGGAGAGGATAATGTGAAGTTGGAAGAAATCCCTTCAATTGAAGAGGTCTATAGAGTCCTGCAGGCAATGGATGAAGAAAGTGCTGCTGGCCCAGATGGATTCACGGGAAAATTTTTTACTTTTGCATGGCAAATAATCGCCCAAGATGTCTACAAGGCGGTACTCAGTTTTTTCTGTGGAGCAGAGCTACCTCGTTTCATCACCTCTACTTCAATTGTTCTAATTCCGAAGGTGCCAAATCCTCA